ACTACCCAAACGCAGACCTAGATCATTTCCATCACTCCAGAAAGTTCCCTCGCGCTCCTCCCCAGTCAATCCACAACTGCCCTCACCCCTTGATTTTCATCAGAGCTTAGTGTTGCTGGTTCTAGAATTTCCATAAAGTGGGCTCATTCAGTAAGTATTCTTTTGTTTTTGACTGCTTTCTAAATGGCCGTCATCGAGAAGGTGTCTCTTGTTGCCTCTGATGTTTTTTTTTTCAGTTGCTCTAGTCCTGCGCTGTCCAGTGTGGTAGCCACTCGCAGCATTGTGACTCTTGAGAGCAGGAAATGTGGCAAGTGTGTGAACTGAGATGTTCTTTGAGTAGACACATAATTTCGAAAGACAGTACCAAAAAAAAAAAAAGGATGTAAATTATCTCACCAAAATATTCTTACATTGATATATGTGTTGAATGATAGTATTTTGGATACATTGGGTTAAATAAGATATGATTAAAATGACCATAATCTGTTTCTTTTTATTTTTTTAATATGGCGACTGGAAAATTTAAAATTACACAAATGCTATGTTTTCATTGGATAGCGGACAGCTCTACACACCCCTATTTTACAGTCAGTTGGTTCTGCCTACTGCCTGTGAGTCAAAGTAAATAATGTAATTCACAGGAGTAAAAAAGTCCTGATTCTAGAAGGAGCGTGAAGAATCTGTTTTTTTCTACTGTTTTAAAATTTTGCTTCAGACTTGCTTATTTGCTTAGAAGAGATGGAAAGGACTAGGTGTCTCCTTGATATTAAGTTATATTTTCTATTTTTAAGTTACATTTTCAAAAAGAACTACAAAATATCTGATGTGCTTCAAAAGTTATCTTGTGCTTTTGAAAATGTGGAAAACTGATAATTACTTACAACCCAACCACCTAAATATATTAAAATGTAGCATTTTAGTGTGACTTGAGCAGTCTTAATTTTAAAAAGCAGTTGAGATGATATAATGTCTTATATAATAGATAATATAATGCTTATAATGTAAGCATATTTTACATGAAAGATTCTTAGGCTTTCTGACAACCACATAATGTACCTTCTCATGAATACTCTTCTGTTTTTATAGCATTTTTCCATGTTGCTAACTTTTACAAATGCTGGAATGAGGTAGTTACAGTGCCGCTTATTTGCCCCTTCATCCCACAGAAAAGGCGAAAACCAGGAGGGCAGGAACCTTGATTTTATATTCACCCCCATACACACAGGATCTGGGAACACATCAAGCATGTAATTGTTCTTGAGGAAGAAAATTTTCTTCTGTCCTTCTAAGTTCTTCTGACTGACTTAAGAATTAAATTGACATGAGACAGATTCATAGGAGAAAATTTTAAAAAGTTTAATAATTCTTGAGAGAGACTCAGGAAAACTGAGTCACTTGCCAAAAGGGTTGAAACCCTCGCCTTTAATAGCATCTTCAGCTCAAGATGAAAGAGGGTGTTGGAGGTAGTGTCTTGGGACTTGAAGAGGGAAGAAGGCACTTAACTGGAGACAGAAAGGCAAATATTTCCCTAAACAAATGTGTGCTGGGCCAGTCAGAGACAGTGGGACCCAGAGTAGATTCTGATCTCTGAGAGCTTCTGACACTACATCTAGCTCATAGTCTGAAAATATTGGGTTGATCAGAAAGTTCGTTCGGGTTTTTCCATCAAATGTTATAGAAAAACCCAAAGGAATTTTTTTTTGCCAACCCATATCTCTGGTGAAAAACTCTATTCTGGGAACAGGTTCTTTATCTAAATTCCTTAGGCGGGGGGGGGGGGGGGGGGGGGGGGGCGGGGGGGCGGCAGTAAAAAAGAAAGACCAAAAAAAAGACTTACTGAGTCCTTGTTTCTTAAAAATAATCAAACTAAATCCTCATGCCAAAGAGGCACATTTTGGGGTGGCAGATTTTCCACCCCTACCTAACAGATTTTCAGTAAACATTTGTTAGCTGACTAAATCAATGCATAGGTGGCTCTGAAAAATAAGAGCTAACCTTCACTCAGCACTTGGGTGCTGCTCTCTTTGGAAATGCCTACACAACTCTATAAGGCAGCCACTGGTATTGTTCCTGTGTACTGCCCAGGTGGAGAAAATCAAAGTTTTCAAAAGTTGGAGAAGGTGCCCAGGGTCCTAGCTATGAGTGACAGAGTCAGCACTTGAACTCGGGCTGTCTGGCTCCAGAGGAGGGGCATTGATCAAAATAGAAAAAAAATCAACAGTGGGATGAGTAACGGAAGACTGTGATGAAATTCCCACTCTACCAACTACCTGGGCTAGTAGGAGTGGTAAGAGGAAGATTTAGATACATTTTGGATCCACAGAAGGAGCATTCTGGGTTTGGAATGAGAATCTTGTAGGGCTAAATCTAGCTCAGGTGAGTGGGTGGATGGCCAGGTGGCTAGTAAAGAGAAACGCTGACACTGAATGTGATCAATTGTAGTGTGTAGAGAAGGGCAGGCCCAGAGACTTGTGGAAGCCGTTTGGGATGGGACTTTTGTATTTTGGATGACTTCAGTCTACTCACCCTGATGGTGATCAAAGAGAACTCACAGCTCTGAGCTGAGATAACTCTACATCTCTTAAGTTAAGCTAGTTTGTTTTGCAAGTAGAGGAAACTACAAAATCAGAATGGGCATTTTGTTGGGGATGACAGACATAGGATAAGCATGGAACTGAAATTATTTCTACCTCATTGCACTTACAGTTGATTCACAGGTATTTTAAAAAATTGTGAGTTGCAATAGAAAGTGGGATTTATAGTTATTCGTTTTTGTAAGTGACTGTCTTTTCTTGTACTTGCAATTTCTAATTATTTTGAATTTTTAAATTTTAATTTATTTAAAAAATTTTATGACTTGCAATTATTTTTTGACTTGCAATTTTATATTAATAGTTTCACTCTGTTGGCAGTTGGCCTGCCAGGACTATACAGCTCACCTTCACGTGCGTGGTGAAATGGCAGAGGCCCACAGCCCCTGGCGATGCTTAAGAGAAAAACAATAGTACTCAGTAGAGAAAACCAAGTAGCTCATGGACTCCCTGTCTGCCTTTAAAACAAAAGGGTTTGGATCAGACAGCATCGGGAAAGTCAAATAAAATTTCTTTATGACATAATATTTTCTTTTTTTTTCCCTGCTTGAATATATCTGTATGATGAAATGGATGGGTAAGGAACAGATTCAGCATTCCACATGCTTAGTTAAGGAGGGTACATTTATTATTAATTGATAGTAACATTAGTAGCTAATTTTTGGTGCTAAAGAAGACTCCGGTAAGTCCCTTGGACAGCAAGGAGATCAAACCAGTCAATCTTAAGGGAAATCAACCCTGAATATTCATTGGAAGGACTGATGCTGAAGCTGAAGCTCTAGTATTTTGGTCATCTGATGGGAACAGTTGACTCACTGGAAAAGTCCTTGATGAACGATTGAGGGCAGAAGGAAGAGGGCGTCAGAGGATGAGACGGCTGGATGGCCTCTCTGATACAATGGACATGAACTTGGGTAAACTTCAGGAGATGGTGAGGGACAGGGAGGCCTGGCGTGCTGCAGTCCATGGGGTCACAGTCAGACATGACTGGGTGACTGAACAACAACAACGTGTTAATATAGGAGTCGACTTGACCCCCTCTAAGCCAGATATCAGCAAACATTTTCCATGAAAGATAATAAATATTTCAGGTTTTGTGGGCCAGAGGCCTCTCTTTTCCCAGCTCCTCAACTCTGCCATTGTAGCCAGAAAGGCACCATATGTATGTAGATGATTAGTGTGGCTGCATGCTAATGAAACTTGATTTATAGACACTGAAGTTAGAGTTTCATATAATTTTTTGTTCCATTTAATTTTAATGTGTCATGAAATATTCTTTTGATCATTTCTCAATCATTTAAAATGTAAAAACAATCTTAGCTTGGGGACTGTACAAAAATAGACAGTGGGCCAGATGTGACCTGTGGGCCCTGGTTTCCTGACCTCTGAGCTATACGTTAGCTCATTTAATCCTCACAACCACCTGCAAGATTTTTTAAAATGTTGGCATATTTGAATATTGATTTCAAAAATAGACTATTCTTTTAAAAGCAATTTTAGGTTCACAGCAAAACTGACCAGAAAGTACTGAGTTCCCATATACCTCCTGTGCCATACCCACGGTGTTCCCTGTTGTCAACAACTTGAACCAGAGAGGAACATTCGTTAGTCAGTGAACCTACACATCATTATCATTCCAAGTCCACAGGTTTCATTAGAATTCACTCTTGGTGTTACACAGTCTGTGAGTTTGGTCTAATATATAATGACCTGTATCCACCATTATAGTATCATACAGAATAGTTGCACTGCCCTAAAAAAACACTCTATGCTCCTCCTATTCACCCTTCCCCAGTAACCCCTGAAGACCACTCATCTTTTTACTGTCTTCATAGTTTTGTCTTTTCCAGAATGTCATATAGTTGGAATTGTACAGTATGTAGCCTTTTCAGAGTGACTTCTTTCAATTAGTAACATGCATTAAGTTTCCTCCATGTCTTTTGTGGATTGATAGCTCATTTCTTTTTAGTGCTGAATAATATTCCAAAGGAATGGTACTTTTTATTTCATTTCATAGATGAAGAAACAGGTACAACTTGTACAGATCTGACTACAGAGCCTGATCTCTTAAACATTTTACTGTGCCTCTGAATCTTAGAAAATGTTAGCTTCTTATGATGAAGTTTGTCACGTGAAAGATGGGGTAAATATAACATCAGGGTAATGGAGCCAGACATTTTGCTTGCAGAAAGTATCCACAGCTTCCTGAATATTGACATGAAAGAAAAACCTAGACGATAAGACTTTGTTTCAAATACTTAGATAGAAAAAGTGCTGTGGGCTTTTGAAATTTTGGTTCAACACACTCTCTGCTTTACTGATTTAAGATCATGTTTCTCTTCCCTGACCATTAATTTTATTACCTTTCAGCTTATACCTGGGTGCTGGCACCCAGCCACTCCTCTGCCAATGAAGTACATCTTGGTCACTGGTGGGGTCATCTCGGGCATCGGTAAAGGGATCATTGCCAGCAGTATTGGGACGATTCTAAAATCATGTGGACTCCGAGTGACTGCCATCAAAATTGACCCCTATATAAACATCGATGCGGGCACTTTTTCACCTTATGAGCACGGTATGAGGGAGAACCTCTCCCCCCCCACCCCATAAAGCACTGGGTCAAATTGCAGTTCTTTCTTGTATCTGGGTAATTTCTTTAAGATAGTGTTCCAGAAGTAGAGTTGCAGGATCATTATGGATCTGTGAAGGTTCTCATGGTTATTGATACGTTTTTCAGATTGCTGATGACATTCCAAATTAGTCCACACTTTTGGAAAGCAGTATGTGAGGATACCATTCTCACTGTACTTTTTGTAGTGTGGATTATTATTATTTTTTGTATCTTAAAGGTAATATATTTCTCAACATTTCATTGTTAAGAAAAAATCAGACAATATAGACTATATTGACAATATAGAATGACCTAAAGAAAATAAAAATCATCCATTTCCCACCACTTGGAATAATTATTATTAATGTTGAAATTTTTATGTATATACTCATTATTTTTATTTATTTATTGGCCACACTGCACAGCTTGCAGAATCTTAGTTCCCTGACCAGGGATTGAACCTGTACCCCTGCACTGGAAGTATGGAGTCCTAACCACTGCACTGTCAGGGAATTCTCTATACTAGTTATTTTTAATAAGGCACAAGCCCTTACATACTTTCCTTTTAAACTTTTCACATACAAGCAAGAAAGTGTATAAATCATATGTGTACCACTTGATGAAATGAACATACTGTGTTAACAGCCCCAAAATCAAGAAACAGAAACCCCCTTTATGTTCTTTCCAGTTTCTCCCCATCTAAGATGACCAGGGTAACCACTATCCTGTCTTCTAACATCATAGATCAGTTGGCTTATTTTTGAACATTAAATGAGCTGAATCTTACAGTCAAACTAGTTTTTAAATTGAAATATACTTGACTTACAATATTTCAGATGTACATCAAAGTGATTCAGTTATACATTATGGTGGTGGTGTGGTGGTTTAGTCACTAAATCATGTCTGACTGTTTTGACCCCATGGACTGTAGTGCACCAGGCTCCTCTATCCATGGGATTTCCCAGGCAAGAATACTGGAGTGGGTTGCCATACCCTTTATACACACACACACACACACACACACACACACACACTTTTTCAGAATCTTTTCCATAGGTTATTATAAGATATTGACTACAGTTTCCTGTGCTATACAGTAGACTCTTGTTGCTTATTTTATATACAGTAGTGTGTACCTGTTAATCCTGAAGACATTTTAATAGATTCTGTACTTCTAAAGGTTGCATAGAATCTGTACAATAATAGGAATTCATTTCCAATTTATTGATGTTATAAGCAAGACTGTGACAAGAAATTTAAAAAATTTTTTTAACATAAATGTCTAGGTACAGAATTTCTGATTTGGTGGGTAGATATGTTTTTCAGGTTTTTTAGTTTTCTTTATACCTTTGCTGAATACTATTCTTTTTAAACTTTACTAACCTGAGAGTACATGAAAAAACAAACCAAAAAAGGTATCTCATTATGTTAATTTAGATTTCTTTGACTTTCATTTTGTTGGTGGAATGGCTTATTCAAGTTTATGGTAAATCATATATTTAATTGAAAGCATCACCTAACTTCCTTCTGTGAGCAAACTCCACGCCCCACTGACTCTGGCCTTTGGCCGCATAGGGTAAGGAACTCTTCCTGGTTTGTCTGGAACTTTGCTGCTTTTGAAATTGAAAGTCCTGAATCCTGGGAATACTTTTACTCCTGGGCAAACCAGAGAGGTTGGTCATCTTATTTGGCCATGTGATTTGTTTTGCTCTGTAGGGTTTTAGTGAATATGACATATGCCTTGTTGAAGCATATGCGATGGCATGATTTCGCTCAGTCCGTCTTGTGCTTCTGCCCTCTGCTGTTCGAGCTGCCTTCCCCATAGAGAGATTTCTCCTTCAACCCAAGTCCTGGAATAAGAAAACACAGGGTAGACTCACAACTGACCCACAACCCCTATGTCACATGAGGGAGAAATCAATAGACGTTTTATAAGTTGCTGAGATGTTAAGGTTGTTTGGTAGGCAGCAAAATTGACTAACGCCATGTGTTAGGACAATTTTCCTTTGGATCTTTAAAAATGATTTTTAAGAATACTTTGTGCAGAGTATATTAACCTATACTTACCACATGAATATATTTCTACCCTGTTTTCAGTTTGTCTTAATATTACCTCTGTTTGCTGCTGATAAATTTCATTTTACTGTTTATGTAACTAAATGTATCCACTGTTTCCTTTATGGTTTCTGCCTTTGATGTCACCTGTTAGCTTCTCCGTCCCAGAAATATTTAAATATCTGTATTTTCTTTTGGCATTTTTAGAGTTTCATTTGCTTTTACTTTATTTTTTCCTTCCAGTTTTATTGACATACAGCACTGTATATGCTTAAGGTATATAGCATAATGATTTGATTTATATACATCATGAAATGATTATCACAATAAGTTTAGTGAATATCCATGATCTCATACAGATTCAAGCTTAAAGAAATAGTGAAAAAGTGTTTCCCTTCTGATGAAAACTCTTAGGATTTATGCTCTAAAAACTCTCATCTAGAACGTAGAGTGGTGTTAATTATGTTTATCATGTTTTACATTTATATATCTAATACTTATTTATATTATAACTGGAAGTTTGTACCTTTTGATTGCCTTCATCCAATTCCACACAGTCCTACCCCTGCTTCTGGGAACTACAAATCTGATCTCTTTTTCTATGAGTTTGCTTTTGAAGTATAATTGTCTTACAACATTATGTTTCTGGTGTACAACATAATGATTTGATGTTTTTATACATTTCAAGGGCTTCCCAGGTGGCACTAGTGTTAAAGAACCTGTCTGCCAATGCAGGAGACATAAGAGACGTGGGTTCGATCCCTGGGTTGGGAAGATCCCCTGTAGGAGGAAATGGCAACCCATCCCAGCATTCTTGCCTGGAGAATCCCATGGACAGAGGAGCCTGGCGGGCTACAGTCCATGGGGTCATACAGAGTTGGACACAACTGAAGCACCTTTGCATGCAACACTCATAGATTTCAAAATGATCACCACCATTTGCTTTTACTTTAATATTGTTAATACATCTGGAATTTAATTTGATGAAAGATGAAGATGAGGTTAGTCACTATTCCTAATCACAGTTATCAAAGATTTCATCCTTTCTCCATTGATTTGAAATACTACCTTTTAATATACATTAAATTTCTCTCTTATTATTCTGTTCTGTTCAGATCTCTTTGTTTATTCCTGCCCACCATATTATCTGGAGTAGGAAATGGCAACCCACTCCAGTATTCTTGCCTGGGAAATTCCATGGACAGAGGAGCCTGGTAGGCTACTGTCCATGAAGTTGCAAAGAGTTAGACACAACTGAACATGCACACACACACACACACACACACACCATTTTAATAGCTATAGCTTTTTATTATCAAGTAGATCAGAACTTTCCCCACTATGCCTTTTCTTCTTTTTTTTTTAACCTCAAAATGTTAGTTGTCTTTAAGACTAACTTCAGAGACCTTTTATCAAACTTGCCCTTTAAATTTATGAATTAATTTGGGGAAGAATTAAACACTTAAATTATTGACTGGCCTATTCAGGAACTTTATAAGTGGCTTTCATTTTATTCATACCTCTTTTATGTCTCTGAAGTAAAATTTTAAACTTTTCTTCTTATTGGTCCTATACATTTCTTGAAGTTTATTTCTGTGTATTTTACCTACTTTGATTTGTAATGATATCTTTTTTTTAGTCATATATTAAATTCCTTTATGTAATAGGGACCTTTTGGATTTATTTTGGTTTTGTGTAGAATTTGTTTGTGCTATTTTATTTCATATTTGTATATATTGAAATATATAAATATATATACATATATATTTCAATCTTCCTGTACTCATTGTTATTTTATAAGGGCTTTTATTTTTATTTACTTTTTTGTGTGTTTTATTTTGGTACTCACACATGTTTTTCTTCCAAATTAAGTTTCACTGTCAAGTTAAAAAAAACCTGTTGGAATTTTTATTATAATTCCATTAAATTAAAAAAAAAGCTTCTTGAAGACATGATCTACAGCTTTTCTTTTTCATCTGCGTGCATGCTAAGTTGCTTCAATCATGTCTGACTTTTTGTGACCCTATGAACTGTAACCCTCCAGGCGCCTTTGTCCATGGGATTCTCCAGGCAGGAATATTGGAGTGGGTTGCCATTTCCTCCTCCAGGGGATCTTCCCGACCCAGGGATTGAACTTGTGTCTTTTATGTCTCCTGCATTGGCAGGCAGGTTCTTTACCACTAGTGCCATTTGGGAAGCCCTTCTTTTTCTCCTAGGAACATAATAGATACTACTTTTATTTTATTCTATTTTTTTTAGATACTACTTTTAAAATTTAAGAATCTAAAATTTCAAGACCTTTGTTGTATACCTGGATTATTACCAAACTGGACTTGGCCTGAATTAACTAAGAGATTTCAGAGATCTTCCCCTATTTGTCAGAAGTTAAAATGATCAAAGTACAAAGACTTTCCCATAGATCGGTGATTCCTGATAAATATTGGAAAGTAGAATTTGAACTAGAAATGGAATTTTGGAAATACAAAATATTGGAGTTTCATTATTTTGTTCTTTTGTCTTTAAAATTAGAGATCTTTCCGATCACACTTGTACTTTATGAATACATAAATGAGAGTATAAAAGGCTTCAGATTAGGTTCAGAAGCTAGCCAACCTTCCTTTTTTTTTTTAATGTTGTAAACATCTAGCAATAGAAGTAAATGATAGAATTTTATTAATCAGGGAGAGGTTCATTTCTGACCAGGTGGCGTTAGGACATTGTCCTCCAAATTGATGCCCTTAAGTAACACTGGAGACACAGACGCATAACCAGTAGTCAACACAGGTGCCCATAGTGTGATTAAGTCTTCATCTATATCCTTCTCGACGGGGCTGTTGTACAGGTGGTGGCTTATTGCTCAGTTTCTTTTTGGTCTCAGTTTCACCAAGTCACCCTGTGGGCTAATGGAGGCTCTGCTTTTCATCCACTGTCTGTTTAATAGTGTCTTAACTCAAGATGGGAGTCAATGAAAATTTTCTTAGGCCAATTTCGGAGTCTAGGATACTGATGCTTCAAAGTCACTTGCTATTTAAAACTGCTGTTTGAAAGTCCCTTTTTCATATGGTATATGAAGAGTTTGGAAAAGCTAAATCTTGAAGACAGAATTTCAGTAAGCATTTAAAAACTACCATTATAGAATACTAGAATTTTTCTAATGCATTATCATGGGTAGATTAGAATTACTCAATTTTTCCATTAAAATAAGGACATGGTGATAGACTATGGCTTATAAATGTCTTTTACCAGCTCTTTAACATATTGTGTTCATCTTTGGAAAATAATCTAATGGAAGCAAATTTTTAATTTTTACATTGCCTTTTTATCCCAGGTGAAGTGTTTGTCTTAAACGATGGTGGAGAAGTTGATTTAGACCTTGGAAATTATGAAAGGTTCTTGGATATTAATCTTTATAAAGACAACAACATCACTACTGGGAAGATATATCAACATGTGATCAATAAAGAGAGGCGTGGCGATTACCTGGGGAAAACAGTACAAGGTATTATATTCTACAAACACTAGAGGGCCCTGTTGGCTGAGCACTCAAACACTCTGCTTAAAATAGACCTAAAGATGAGGAGGTCCCTGTGCTTTACAAGTTTCAGTCCTGCTCAAATCCCTCTGTTCTTTTCTTTCCTTCTTTTTCCCCACCTCCAATTTTATTGAGATCTAATTGACGTACAGCACTGTATAAGTTTAGGGTGTATAGCATAATGATTTGACATCATACAATGGTGACCACAATAACTTTAGTAAATATCCATCATCTCATATAGATGCAAAATTAAAGACATAGACAAAAATTGTTTCCCTTGTGATGAAAGCTCTTAGGATTTACTCTTTTACATAACATAGAACCATGTTAATTATTAATATATATAATTAATATATTTATCATGCTGTACAATACATCCCTAGTACTTATTTATCTTATAACTGGAATTTTGTACCTTTTGTCTGCTTTCATTGGCTCAAGTGGTAAAGAATCTGCCTGCAATGCAGGAGACACGGGGGATGCCAATTCGATCCTTGGGTCAGGAAGATTCCCTGGAGGAGGAAATGGCAACCCACTCCAGTATTCTTGCCTGGAAAATCCCATGAACAGAAGAACCTAGTGGGCTACAGTCCATGGCATCATAATGAATCAAGATGACTGAGCACACACTTACACATCCATTCCCCTGACCCATAACCACAAATCTGATGTATTTTTTTCCTTGTTTGTTTTTTAAGTATAACTAACCTACAACTAACCTATGGGGCTTACCTGATGGCTCAGACGGTAAAGAATCCATCTGCAACGTGGGAGACCTGGGTTTGATGCCTGGGTTGGGACGATCCCCTGGAGGAGGTCATGGCAACCCACTCCAGTATTCTTGCCTGGCAAATCCCATGGACAGAGGAGCCTGGTAGGGTATAGTCCATGGTGTTGCAAAGAGTTGGACGTGACTGAGCAACTTCACAACCTACAACACTATGTTAGTTCCTGTTATACAACATAGTGATTTGGTATTTCTGTACATTTCAAAATGATCACTACGGTGTCTATTACCATGTCACCATGCAAACTTCAAGTTTATCCTCCATGTTCGTGATTGTATTTTCATCAGTCTTTTCTTTGTTACTAATGTCATTGTTTCCTTTAGCCCCCTTTTCTGCCCTCTTTATCTTTTTCTCTTTAGCTTTTATTTATGAAATCCATAGGGAATCTTCATCACATATCTGATTGGGTGTAGATCTGAGTCAGTTTTTGTCTGTCCTTAATATGTTCTTTTTCTACTTTTTTCTTGAATCTTTGCATTGATGATGATTACTTCCTTTTGAAGAATAGCCGTGGGAAGGAACATGGGATTGAACAGGAGGGCAACCTGATGACTTTTTTCACCGACCTTTTTCATTGGTCACATGTTTCTGTCAGGTTGGTTTACTTCTACAAAATATCAGATTGATTCTAGTGGAAACAGTTCTTTTATTAAGCAGACACTCCCAGGACATGGGAGCAGACCAACGGCGAAGGGGTGGCAACAACTCCCACTTGGCTTCCCTTTTTATACTCTTTCTCTCCTTCTCTTGGTTCTGCCCTATGCAAAATAGGGCTTGACCCACCACCAATCAGGAAAGGGAGTGCAAATTGGCATACATTTAAGGCTGATTGACAGTTGCAAGTTACATAATAACAGGCTCTATTGTGCGTGTCTTTCCCATAAGTCAGTCTGTTATAATCAGATGTATGTATGTATAGAATATTTATGAACCCTTAATGGACTCCTAGCTGCCTACGGTTACTTGAGGACACAGCTGTGCATCAAAGGCACATGTGCTAGAGTTGGAGAAGCCACTGTGGTTATTTCTGTAGCCTATTGTGAGCTCTCCTGGGTGTGTCTGGGTTGGGGTTTAGACATCAGCTTGCATCCTTTTCGGCTAGACCACCCCTCTTGCTCATGCCTAACTTCCTACCTAACAATTTTGATTATTCTCTTTTGTCCTCTGCAACCCTTGCCCCTTGTATTCATAAGTTCCTATGTGGTAGGCAACATGCTAGCAAAGTAATGCTCAAAATTCTCCAAGCCAGGCTTCAACAGTTATGTGAACCATGAACTTCCAGATGTTCAAGCTGGATTTAGAAAAGGCAGAGGAACCAGAGATCAAATTGCCAACATCTGCTGGATCATAAGAAAAGCAAGAGTTCCAGAAAAAAATCTGCTTTATTGACTATGTCAAAGCCTTTGACTATGTGGATCACAGCAAACTGTGGAAAATTCTTCAAGAGATGGGAATACCAGACCACCTTACCTGCCTCCTGAGAAATCTATATGCAGGTTAAGAAGCAACAGTTAGAACTGAACCAACGGACTGGTTCCAAATTGGGAAAGGAGTACGTCAAGGCTGTATATTGTCACCCTGCTTATTTAACTTATATGCAGAGTACATCATGCGAAATTCCAGGCTGGATGAAGCACAAGCTGGAATCAAGATTGCTGGGAGAAATATCAATAACCTCAGATAGGCAGATGACATCACCCTTATGGCAGAAAGCGAAGAAGAACTGAAGAGCCTCTTGATGAAAGTGAAAGAGGAGAGTGAAAAAGCTGACTTAAAACTCAACATTCAGAAAACTATGATTATGGCATCCAGTCCCATCACTTCATGGCAAATAGATGGGGAAACAGTGGAAACAGTGACAGACTTTATTTTTGGGGGCTCCAAAATCACTGCAGACGGTGACTGCAGCCATGAAATTAAAAGACGCTTGCTCCTTGGAAGAAAAGCTATGACCAACCTAGACAGTCTATTAAAAAGCAGAGACGTTACTTTGCCATCAAAGGTCCATCTAGTCAAAGCTGTGGTTTTTTCCAGTAGTCATGTATGGATGTGAGAGTTGGACCATAAAGAAAGCTGAGTGCCAAAGAATTGATGCTTTTGAACTGTGTTGTTGGAGAAGACTCTTGAGAGTCCCTTGGACTGCAAAGAGATCCAACTAGTCAATCCTTAAGGAAATCAGTCCTGAATATTCACTGGAAAGACTGATGCTGAAGCTGAAAATCCAGTATTTTGGCCACCTGATGCAAAGAACTGACTCATTGGAAAAGAGCCTGATCCTGGGAAAGATAGAAGACAGGAAGAGAAGGGGATGACAGAGGATGAGATGGTTGGATGGCATCACCGAGTGGATGGACATGAGTTTGAGCAAGTTCCGGGAGTTGGTGAAGGACAGGGAAGCCTGGCCTGCTGCAGTCCTTGGGGTTGCAGAGTCGGAAATGACTGAGCAACTGAACTGAACCTAACTGAATTGAACTGCATGGTATGGTAAAGATGCTAGTTTCCCACCCCGCTTAAATCACCTTCAGGTTGAAAAACAGGTGAGAAGTAGATAAAGAAATTGGACAGATGGAGCTCAAAAGATCAGCTATGTTACTGCTGACACTGGACGGTGTGGCTTAGATCTCAACTATTGATGCAGCTGTGCTTTCTAATAGTTTTCCTCCAAGTGTATGTATTGGGAAAGCCCGCGGGAGGGAGAGTTGCTGCCTCATACCAGTGACCCCCGCAAAATTAGGGAAAGGGCAAGGTCCCAAACCTGGGTCTGGAGTCTGAGTCCCTGTGCTGCCCACGTGGAGGGAGAGCTGACTTGCCCAGTCCTCACGGAAAGGGGTTGGGCTGGGCATGCTGCAACGGGTCGTTCCAAACGCACCAATCAGAGGCGACTTCCTCCCGCCTCGAGGCAGGTGGGGCGGTGCCTGGGAGCCGCAGGGGCCGTTGCGGCAGGCGAGTGACGTGACAGGCGCTGCTCTGCGTCAGCTTCACAGAGGCCACCATTTCTCCTCCTTACGTCGTATTAGGTCAGTTAACTAGAAACAAAAACATTTTTTTCTGTTTTGTTTCTTTGGCTGAGGCCAGCAGCTGCAGGCCTGCTCAGCACTTAGGTACCCCGGGGCCTTGTGCGTGTGGAGATATCACCTTTTAGCCTCTTCAGCTGACAGTAGCCGCCGCAGGCCTCCTCCACGCCCTCTCAGTGACTCCTCCCCACTGGCGGGCGGGCTGCCCGGGGGTTGCAGGGCTGGGCCACTCTGGGCCACTTCCCCTAGGAATTCGGCGTTCAGCACCCTTAGCAGCCCTCCTTGCACAGTTTTTAGTTGGCATTTTAGGTGTTTTCTAGTTGCTTCAAAGATGGCACTTCTGCTCTGTGTTTCTCTGGGCTTGGTGGATTTCAAGAGAGATGGAATAACATTTAAATGACTAAATCTATGTTGGTTCAGTAATATTAATTTCAGTGACATGGATAGTAACACTAGGACTGGAGCTTGTCTCATTTGCCAGGTGGCTTTCAGGTTATTTGGGAGGTCAACAGACACTAATTCATTTCTCATAACCGTGACACTGAAATACGCTTTTGTGCTAATTATTACCTCTTTCTGCAGTTGTCCCGCACATTACTGATGCTGTCCAGGAGTGGGTTATGAATCAAGCCATGGTGCCTGTGGATGGTCATAAGGAAGAGCCCCAAATATGCGTTATTGAGGCAAGCATGGAACTTTATTTCTTTATAAGTTTGTATCCTTATCAGTTTTTTTAAAAAAACTTTTTTAAAAATGGAACTACTGAGATTTTTATTTTATTTATTTTTTTGTCTGCACCCTGTGGGCATATGGGATCTTAGTTCCCCAACCATCGGTCAGACCTGCGCCCTCTGCCATGGAAGCAGGAAGTCTTAACCCTTAATGGTTGGACTGCCAGGGAAGTCCCTTCCTTATGGGTTTTTAAGCAGCTGATCTTCCTTCATTCAAGGAATGTGAATAGATGGTATCATGTGTGCTGGACACCCAGCTAGGAGGTGGGATTACAGCATGCAGCGATATAGATGGTCTTTGCTCTTTTGGTCACAAGTCAGTGGGCAAGACTGGCTTAAACTGGATGAGTACTCCTGGGGTGGGCATGCACCAGTCTGTAAGTGGGGACTAAACAGTTGCAGAATGCATTCTACTCAGTACTATTTGCAAAATGCTTTGAAAGTAAAGACAGAGTTAGGGAAGTCCAACTGTAGAGGTGATTTGGAGGTGAGAAGTGAGTATTAGCTGTTTAAAGAAAGAGCATAGTATTTTCCCTTGCCACTTGTTCACTGCTTCCCTTCCTCTCAATGTGCAGAATGAGAATAATATCCATGTACTCCTTATCTAAATGTCGGTTGATCTAACTGCCAGGCAGGAGAGGAGAATAATGAACATTTTTTTGTTTCTTAGAGGCAGACTGCCCAAGTTCAAATTTCTATCATGGCCCCCAAACAGTGTTTGGCTTAGTGGTTAAGAGTCTGGAGCCAGACTGCTTGGGTCCATAGCCCAGCTGGATCACTTAGCAGCATGGCACTGACACACAAAAAAAATTGTGTCGTGAGGTAGAAGTGAGAAGGAGTGCTGGAGGGCAGAGAGGGAGAGCACACTCTCATTTAACCCTGTGAGGGTCTATAGGTACTGTTAGTAGCTGGCTGAAAAAAGAAGCAAAAGTATTTCAGGTTAGTAACCAGTAGAATTAACAGTTAAGATTGGGATCTGGGGATAGGGGTACCAGAGAGCTGTAGCCTCATCTGTCACAGCAGGAAGTACACTTACATCCTTTAGCTGTGATAAGTCGCTTCAGTCGTGTCCGACTATTTGCGACCCTATGGACCGTAGGCCGCCAGGCTCCTGTGTCCATGGGATTCTCCAGGCAAGAATACTGGAGTAGGTAGCCATGCCCTCCTGTGAGGGATCTACCCAACCCAGGAATTGAACCTGCATCTTTTATGTCTCCTGCATTGGCAGGTGGGTTCATTACCACTAACCCCACCTGGGAAGTCCAAGAGGGTGTCTGAAATGGCTAAGTCAAGAAAGAGCCGAGCTGGATGAAGTTTGGTTTAGAGATATGGAGGTCGCCAGAAAAAATCCCAACAGAGAAGTTAAAGTACTTGGTTTGGGGAATCAGACTTAGGAGAGGGAAGAATGGGGCAGGGAACTCTTGCTTTTTATTATAAGTTCTGCTGTACAATTTGTTTCTTTAATCATGTGCATGCATTGTTTTAATTTTTGAAAAAACACAAATTAATGGCAACTGGAAGGTGCCATTTAATAATATCAATATCTTAAAGATCAGTCCAAGACTGATTTTATTCAAGCTCAATAGAGGGTTGGACAAGCCCTCACTCCTTTGGTTTACACTGATTATTTGTTGCAGAGTACCACCTTGTCCAGTATGGTAGCCACTCACCACATGGGGCTGTTGAACACGTGAAAGCAGACCATTCAAACTGAGGTGTGCTGTGACTTTAAAATATAACTGGACTTCAAAGACTTAGTATTAAAAAAAAAGTGTAAAGCACCTAATAATTTTTTAAAAATTGGCAATATGTTGAAATTATAATATTTTGGATATACTCTGCTATATAAAATGTAGTGTTAAAATTAATTTTTCCAGTTTAATTTTGCTTTTTTAAATATGTCAACTAAAAACTTTAAAATTATGTATGTGACTCATCTCACGTTATATTTCTGTTGGACAGTGCTGGTCTAATGCTTTCACTGATTTTTGCTGTTGTTCAAGCAATAGGAAAGAGAAAGGATCTTCCCAGAATTGGTCCCTTGGCTCAAAAGTAATGACCAACCTGAACATTTTTTATAACTTTTTTATTGATTTTTTTTCTCACTTTTAGGTTTTGATAGGTGAAGGAATAGCTTTTTCTTAATCCCAGGAAAAGTTCCAAATGGTCATGTATATGAATGTTTTTATTCCTTGATTCTGCTTTTATAAATATATATATATATATATATGTTTTAAATAATAACAAAAAAGAGAAGAGGAAATGAATGTATTTTTTAAAATGTAATTGAGCTGCTGCTGAACTTCACCAAAAAATATAAGCCCTATTTAACCATGGGAGAAGTCTTCTTAACACTTCTTTTTCATCTTCCTAGCTCTCCTAGCTATTGTTTTTTGAGCATCCTCTTTGAACAAAGCTTTTATACTGTGCCAAATTGTCCTCAGGAAAATCCCTTCTCCTCTATACAACCTTGTTGTTTATATTTGCTTACTGGACACAAATCAGGTATCCTTTTGGGTTCATTTTAAGTTGTGCTCAACAATTGTGCTTGTGCACAATGTAAGATTTTTAAGAACGACCACAAAAGCTGATTTTTAGTTTTAAACACGTAGAAGCTGTTGAAATGTCTCCAAAGCCTTTTTTTTTTTTTTTTTTGGCAGATGAGCCCTCTGCTTCTTAGACCAGTGGAGCTGATAGGCTTTATTCCTATCACTGCAGGTCATCCAAGCATGAGCCTGGAATAGTTTACACCTGACTTAAAGGAATAAAAGGTTTCTTCTTTTCCCCCAAAAGGACTCCTTTACTTTTTTTTTTTAAGTTGTCTTAATCTTCTTGTATATATATATTTAATTTTATTAAAGTATAGTTGATTTACAGTGTTGTGTTAATTTCTGCTGTACAGCAGATTCAGTTATACATGTATATAAGGACTCCTTTAGTTTTATTTTTACTTTTTAATTAAAAATTTCTGCAGCTTTATTGAGGTATAACTGACATATAACATTGTATTTGTTTTAGGTGTACAACATAATGATTTGATGTATGTATATATTGTGAATAGATGACCATAATAAATTTAGTCAACATCCATCATCTCACATAGTTAAACTTTTTTTCTTGTGATGAGAATTCTTAAGATTTATTCTGTCAGCAACTTTCGGAGAAAGATTCCTTTCCTTAAAGGTGAAGTGGACATGGCACATCTCATAGTTTTGCTTGCTGCTGCTTCAATTTCGGCTTTGCATAGATCTTAAAATGTTGTTATGGGTGATATTTTTCCTGTTGTACGGGAAGAGAATTAACTTAGGACTACTTTAGTAATAATACTGAAAGTTTCTGATCACAGTGAAGACAATGGTGAACCAAAGGAGAGGTAATGGTACTTTCCAAATTGGCAGAGAGAGTGCAGTACCAGTATAGGCCATATGGGGGCAAAAGCAGATAATGTTTAAAGTTTTTGCTTCCTTTTCTGGATTCCCTGCTTATTCCCAGAATACCGCCCCATCAAAAACCAAAAAATGTCTCTTTATGGTTTAAAGTGCAGACCTCAAAAAAATAAAGTGCAGACCTCTTTTTTTCCCCTAATTTTTTCCCCCATTAGCTTCTGATGCATTATAGTTAGGGAGCACTTACACCCCTCACCCCCCTGCCAGTTTCCTGATTGCATGTTTTATTTCTTGGATTTTCGTAATTAAGTTTGTCATTCACTTACAGAATGACCATATATTTCTATCTGTTCCATAGCCAGAAGACTTGAATTTTAATTTTGTTATCTTAGTTAAAGTTAGTAAAGAATAATTTCTTCCGTAACAATGAAATCCTTGTACATCTTAGTTTGATCCTGTTGTACTTATGGTAACAGGTACTAGAATGCTGTGACCTAGGGCTTATATTAAATTTCAAGACCTTCTGTCCTGTCCTATTAATCTAAATTCTCAGCGCTGCCTGCAGGTCTCTGGGCTAGTGCTGGAGATACGGCAGGCAAGTTCCTGCCCTCAAGGACCTTACAGCCTAGTGGGGTAGAGAGATAGGAGTGGTGGTTTAGTTGCTAAGCTGTGTCTGACTCTTGCAACCCCATGGACCGCCAGGCTTCTCTGTCCACGGGATTCTCCAGGCAAGAATACTGGAGTGGGTTGCCATTTCCTTCTTCAGGGGATGTTCGCAACCGAGGAATCGAACCTGGGTCTCCTGCATTGCAGGCAGATTCTTTACCCACCCAGCTACGAGGGAAGCCTGAGAGACAGGAGATAAGAACTCAAATAAAATAATGGCACCCTGTGCTGTGTTACTAGGAAGGGCACAGACAGGGTTCTTTAGGTGGGTGGTCAAGGTCGCACTCTCTGAGGGACATGCAGCTCCCTGGGCTGAAGGATAAAAGGGAAGTAGGTGTATATGAAGAAGGTGAGTAGGAGGGCCTAAGGGGCAGGAAGGAAGAGCATGGCCTGTCTGAGGACTTGAAAGGCCAGTGAGATTGAAGTGCAGAGGTGGGGGTGGGAGAGTAGGGGGATGGGAAAAGGGCAGATGGGAGTGGGGACATGAGATGAGATTAGAGACATGTGCAAGGGCCAGATCATTTAGGTCCTTTTGTTAGCTGCCTAAAGGAGTTTAGATTTTATTTTTAGTGAAGCAGTGAGTTGCTGAAAGATATAACCATGGAAGAGAGGTATTCTGAATCTTAAAAGGTCACTCTGCTGCTGTATGACAAACGGTTGGTAGGATAGGAGAGGGTGGAAGCTAGGAGGCCATTAAAATTGGGGGCAGCCAACTTTGTAAAGGGCTAGACAGTACTGTTGCCTGGAAAATCCCATGGATGGAGGAGCCTGGTAGGCAACAGTCCATGGGGTCGCTAAGAGTCGGACACCACTGAGCAACTTCACTTTCACTTTTCACTTTCATGCACTGGGGAAGGAAATGGCAGCCCACTCCAGTATTCTTGCCTGGAGAATCCTAGGGACAGGAGCCTGGTGGGCTGCCGTCTATGGGGTCGCGCAGAGTCGGACACGACTGATGTGACTTAGCAGCAGCAGCAGCAGATAGTAAATATGTTTAGTTTTGCAGGTGAGAGAGTCTCTGTCACAACTACTCCACTTTGCCATTGTAGTGCCCAAGCAGCCTTAGGCGGTGTGTGAGTGGGCGGGGCTGTGTGCTGGTACAGCTTCGTGTAAAAACAGGCAGCAGGCCATCTCAGCTACCCAGGGCTTAGATGATTGCAGTAATCCCTGCAAATGGTCATGTTGGCTTGGGTGTCTAGGGTTGTAACAGTGGAGAGGTTTGCAAGAATGTTTTGGAGGTACAGCTCACTGGACGGGGTTGGATAAGGAAAAGCAGGTGGATCGAGGATGATTTCCAGACCTCTAGCTTCAACCAGTTACTGGGAAGAGATGCTGTTGCTGAGATGAGGGAGGAAACACCAAGACAAGCAGGCCCAGGGCTGTGGGGATTAGGAGTTCAGTGTGGGACATGGTAAGTTTGAATACTTACTGACCCATCTGAGACATCAAGGGCAAGTTGGTTTCAAAGACCAGTGGAAAGAGAGGTCAGGGCTACAAGTAGATTTTGGACCCAGTCAAGTCCCCGAAACCAGAGAAGGTGATGAGTTCTGGGCTTGGGTCCACCAAGATCTCTTCTTCCTCCACATCCAGATCATTCCACTTAGCGCTTAAGTTGGATTCTTGCTTATTGTTCTTTAGCTCTGCCTTATTTTTCTCACTCACTTCTGAGCTTCTCAGGAGCAAGCAGGCTTGTCTTAAATTCTTCCTGGGGGCTTCTTTATAGTGTTGAGCCTGTAGTAGATACTCAAATGCTAAAGAATTAATTTAAAAATCCATGTGATAATCTTTAAGTATTTAAATATGGTGAGGATGAATGGGTTAAAGTGAATTTTATCTTCGTCTAAAGTAAAATGCTTAAGTAACTTTACTGGCAGTACAATGTAAATTAAGTTAACATTTATCAAAGGATTACACTGTCAGGAATATTCTCAGGGCTTTTGGTACTACTTGTTTCAGAGAGCCAGCATGTTTTAATAGTAGTGATTTAATTCTGGTAGTACTACCATTACAAGGAGGCTGTTCAGCTACACACAAGGCTTTGTGTGGGTGTGTGTGTGTGGGTTCATGCAGAGATGGAGAGAGAATGCTATTTCACACCGGGCAGAGCCAGATGGCTCTCTGCTTTCTCATATTGTCACTGGATTTGAAATCTCCCTTCCAATGGGACCACTGGTAGAAGCTAACTGATCTCACTCCTGGTGGTGTATATTCTGTCTTTTTATCTGCTTAGAAACTCCCTTCTCTTTTCTTAAAGTGCTCCTTTTCTTTTTTTCCCATTCCCAGCTGGGTGGCACCATTGGAGACATTGAAGGAATGCCGTTTGTGGAAGCATTCAGACAATTCCAGTTTAAAGCAAAAAGAGAGAATTTCTGTAATATCCATGTTAGCCTTGTCCCGCAGGTGAGCTTTCCAGATAAGTATGTAGACAGCAGCTCCTGTAGGTTTTCCTGTGATGCTCTGTTTATTCCACCTTTTAAATCAGGAAGCCATTCATTATCCAGAAGAGCCTGATGTCCAGCATACTGACAGTGACCCATTTCTTTTCAGCCCAGTGCTACCGGAGAACAAAAAACCAAACCCACACAAAACAGTGTCCGTGCGCTGAGGGGATTAGGCCTGTCTCCCGATCTGGTGAGTTAAGGGGAGTGGGTAAGTTTTGTGGACTAGGACCTCCATCTCCTAACCTGTAGCATCATCTGAGTCCTAGCTCTCAAATGGTTTCAGTGACTGAACTTATTGTATCTGGGACCTGGGGAAGGTTTATTCCCTCATCATCAACTGTTGCTTCACACATTTCTAAATTGGCCATCTCTTCTTCTCCAGGCCCTCATTTGATTGGCCACACTGACATCTGGGCAAGTGCATTGTGTGGTCATTTGTGTGATCCCTGGGTCCTTTGGAGAGAGTTGGGACCTGGGAGATTTTCCTCTGAACCTGCTAGGTCGGGTTAGCCCTTCTTTTGTTTATAGCAGTAATCCAGTTATGGCCAGTAGTCTAGATCAGGGGTGGGCAAGTAAGGGCCTGCAAGCCTGCTGCCTGTAAAGGAAGTTGTTCTGTGACTCTCTGCCACTCATTGTCCACATTTGTTCATAGCTGCCTGTGCACCATGGCAGAACCATTGAGGAGTCAGGGCAGTGACTGCATGACTGCAAAAGCTAAAGCTTTTACCATTTAGCCCTTTAGAGAAGAGTGCCAACCCTTGGTCTGGCTTTCTTCTTGTAGTTTTAGGAAGTAACATTTCTGAGCCTCATGTCTGTTCACCACATATGCTGTGACATTTATTACCAGTGGATTTGTGGTGAGTTTGGTTACCCTTGCTCCTATTAGTGCTCAGACCAATTTCTAGTAACACAGTGGGCTGCCAAGGATGGAGAAGTCAAGTCTCCATAAAGTTAAGTCAAGACTTGGTCAAGTCTCTTGGAGCAAAATTAACATAGCTTCCTCCTGAAAACCAGTGGCGGTGTGAACAGCTCAATAATTCCTGCCTGCTAACCTGTGCATGATTGACTTTGACAGATTGTCTGCCGGAGTTCAACGCCCATCGAAATGGCTGTGAAGGAAAAGATTTCTATGTTTTGTCACGTGAACCCTGAACAGGTTAGTGCTGCTCTTTAGATTTGATTGCCTTGCAGGCACTTCTGCTGATGCCAGCATTTTACACCTCTTAAATTATTGTATACTTTTCACAACATTTATAAAAGCTTTGGGGGACTCATATGCAACTATGGCTTCCTTGCCTTTAAGTGAACAGTCTTGAGACTACTGACTCCTTAAATAGATTGTGTATTTCACTCCTTAAATTTTAATTATAGGTATAAAACCAGGCAGATTTTTTTTTTAACTTGCAGTCAACCTCTGGAGAGAACCATTTGAAGCCTGCTTATCGTCTCTTTATCTTGTCTTTTCAGGACACTTACGGCTTTTACTGCAATTTCTCCTTTGTACTTGTTACAGCTTAGCTCACCTCAAACCACACATTACAGTGACATTCACACTATCACTTCTGATTACATCAATGGCCTCAGTTCAGTTCATTGCTACAAAAACTACTGTGATGTGGGTTCAGGTCCTCTGTTCTGTAGGACTTTCCACCTGTGTATCTGAGAACTGGCTTTTCTTTTTTCTTTTATCCACTTATCTCTGTCTCTTGTTTGTAATAAGGCTCAGGCACAAGGGATTGGAGTTTAAAAGTGATTTGATGGATGCTCAGGAAAAGGGTGAGGTTTAGCAAAAATCTTTTGTTTCCTTCAGATTATCTTGAGGTTTTCTGAAGCCTAAAAACTACCTACTCAGATTTCTTGAGTCTCAGGAGTCAGACTGATATATTCACTGGCTGATGCTTCAGGGTCAGTGTACAAGTCTGAACACCTTTGAAAAATGTGATGGCAGATTTAAAGCACTCCTCTGTATCTGTATGTCATCAAGCCATTTTGGTTTTGTTTAATTGTTTTTTGTAAATAGTACTTGGTATGGATATCACACACATTTAACTGGTTTCTGAAATAGGAGGAGGATACAGCTTTTAGAGTTGCGTTGCTAAGACCTCTGAGAACAGATGATACAGTCCAAACTTTCAATCATGTGGAATTTCTTTTCTTTTTTTTTTTTTGGCTGCGCTGCATGGTTTGCAGGATCTTAGTTCCCTAAACTAAGGGACTGAACCTCAGCCACTGCAGTGAAAGCACCGAGTCCTAACCACGGGACCACCAGGGAATTCCCGAGTTTATTTTCTTTGTAACTATAGATTCTGAAGAATGTTCTATCTTGTCAGTCCACAGGCTAGCTTATTAGTCATTTTTTTAGCACATTGCTTTAAAAATTTTTTTATTGAAGTACAATTGATTTAAGGGGTTGTGTTAGCTTCAGGTGTACAGCAAAGTGAATCAGTTCTATATATAACTGATTATTATATATATACATATATCCACTATTTTTTAGATTCTTTCCCTATATAGGTCATTATAAAGTATTGAGTAGAGTTCCCTGTGCTATACAGTAGGTTCTTGTTATTATCTGTTTTATATATGGTTGTGTGTATATATCAATCCCAGTTTTCCAATTTATCTCTCTCCCCTGCCCCCACCCTTGCCTTACCTTCTAGTAACCATAAGTTTGCTGACTACATCTGTCAGCACATTGCCTTTTTAAACATGAGTTAATTCTCCCATTTCTTAGTTCCTCGTGAACTTGCGTTTAGTGCTTTTCTCACCCGGATTGCCGAGGAGGGAATGGAAGGTCACAGGCATCTCTCTGTTGTGCTCTGTTACCATGATATTTGAAAAAATGTCTCAGGCCTGGAGGATAGATGAGTAAATAGCTCCACATCCCATGCCTTCTACTTCTGGGAGTTGTGGCTGTCCAGAAATTTAATTTTAATTAATAATTGGGATGGAGCATCAGTGACATCTTGGCACTTTGAATTGCATCAAAGAATGCACAGATGAGACACAGTTATCTTAAAGATAAAGTTGTCAATGTCCAAACAGCTTAAGAACCCTTGGTTGGATAGCTATGGATTTGGAAAGACTGAACACACAGAGTTTGCAGAACATTTCTTGGCATTTGTTTAGAATGTGGCAGATCCTTAAATGCCTGCCAGTAGCCCTTTATCTGTACTTGAGAGGATGGTGAAAGCTCATTAGGGTGTGAAAAACAACTGTACCACCTGGCATTTAAAAGAGCCTTTCTCCCCTCATAGGTGTAATTAACTTGACTGTGTTCAATGTGTGGTTATAAATTTACCAAATGAAGGGCAGACAAAAAAAGCAACTATAGTAGCAGCTACAACAAAAAATGAGTGAACGAACAAACCACATACCCATACTTGGAGGACAAGGTGTATGTATTCTAAGTCTACTGTCTGAACCTAGACTTAGGAGATGGTGCCTTGGGCCATGTGTCTTGGATACTGACATATAAAGCATACATGTTCTAACACCAAATCTCTGACACCCTTGGGGTTCCTGCACTTCAACTCAGACACTCAGTACCTGGAGTGAGCATCAGACTCTGCAGGCCTTTATAAGACTGCCCTGCACTTCACACACCAGCCACAGGTTTCCATTGTTCCAAGCCACCCCACTTCTGCCTGGCTGACTACAAAGTTGAAGCTTCTCGTGACTACCTCAGGTTTGATAATTCTCTAGAATGACTCACAACTCAGAAAAGTGTTCTGCTTATGATTACTATCTTATTATAAAAGGTGTAAGTGAACAGCCAGATGAAGAGACACATAGGGCAAGGTCTAGGAGAGTCCCAGGCACAAGAGCTTTTGTTCCTGTGGAGTTAGGGGGCACCACCTTCCCATTACATTTGTATATTCACAAACGAGGATGCTCCCCTGAGGCCTGGTATTCACCATTTTTGTTGGGGTTTCATTACATTGGCATGATTGAGTAAATCATTGGTCACCTGATTGAACTCAGTCTCTAACCCCCATCCCTTGCCTGGCAGTCAGGTGGCTGAAAGTTCCAGCCTTCTAATGACTTTCTGGCTTTAACCAACTCCAATCCTAAAGTCATCTCAGTGCCAGCCTCGTTAACCTAACAAAGTTATTCCTGTAACTCAAGAAATTTCAAACGTTTAAAATACATATATGCGTGTATGTGTGTGTATGTATTCTTTGTTCCCAGTTCCTGGCACAGGAGATATATATTTTCTACCATAGCATCCACAGTTCCAGGTGTAGAATAATGACTTCTTTATATATGGTTGTGTTTATATATGGTTCAGTGTTTTGTAATTAGATGAAACTAACCTTGTGTTAATTCTGACTCCTGTTTAGGTTGCTGAGTTCTTGGTTTTTTTCTGTCAGTATAAATAAACTGCCATCTCTCTTGAGTTTTGGCTCATTCTTGTGTATGTTTTTGTGGCATATTTGAGTCATTCCATTAAATATGGTGTTTTATCATCATTAATCAGGTCATATGTATCCATGATGTTTCTTCCACCTACCGAGTGCCTGTGCTTTTGGAGGAACAAGGCATCGTTAAATATTTTAAAGAGAGATTGGATCTGCCCATTGGGGATTCTGCAAGTAGTTTGCTTTCCAAGTGGAGAAATATGGCTGACAGGTACTGTGAATGGAATTACTAATGTAATCTTTCTTAATTCTTGACTTTGGGGGTAGGACTGAGGTCTACCTTAGAAGGTAACTATGTAGCAGTCTGCTTTCCACATGGGCATGTTTGGTTTGGGAAATATCTAAAGCCCTAGCATATTGTCAGGGTGTTTTGCTGTACTCTGAAGATTGACAGGGCCTTTGATTTTGCTCTACTTAAAGAAAATTGAAAGAACTTGGATTCCAGAATTAAAAAAAAATTTTTGGAAGCATTTTGATTTATTATTTAGTCTCTGAATATTTTAAACAGTTTAAAATGCCATAGGCTTTGTTTTGTTTTGCTTATTTTTAAGAGTTTTGGCTATGGCATTGTTGTTCTGTCCTGCAGTCATGAATTATCAGCGTCGGTATTAAAAACCCCTGATAGGTTTTCGCTTTAAGACAATCATATTAATTTCAGCAAGGTTTGTCTAATTTGATGTTGTATACAGAGGAAATCCCCATCGCCTATTTTCTTATACTAAATGTTGATGAGGCATGACTTCATAAACTCCTGGCTGTTTCACTTCTCATGTAGCTGAGGTAGAGGCAGTTGGTGCAGTAGTTACAAATGTAGGCTCGATGTTGCTGAGGAGTAGATCTTAAAAGTTCTCATCATAAGAAAAACGTTTATAACTTTGTGTGGTGATGGATGTTAACTAGAATTCTTGTGGTTACCATTTTGTAATATATAAATATATTGAATTATCATGTGTGACTGGAGCTAATTAATGTTATATATCACATATCTCAATAAAAAAAAATGTAAGCTTTGATGTCAGGCACCATAGATTCAGACCCTAGCTTCTCCTTTCACTAGCTGTGTGAGTTTAGGCAGATTACTTCATCTCTCTGGGCTTGTTCTCCCATCTATATATAACTGGGGGATGCTAGTTCCACGCTGTGGCAATTTTGAGAGAAAATACATTGGGCCTTAACTTCACATCAGGCACTGTTGGCTACTGATGTCTGTTACAATAATCAAAATATTTTTGGGGGGCTTCCCTGATAGTTCAGTTGGTAAACAATCCACCTGCAGTGCAGGAGACCCCAGTTCGATTCCTGGGTTGGGAAGATCCGCTGGAGAAGAGATGGACTACTCACTCCAGTATTCTTGGGCTTCCTCTGTGGCTCAGCTGGTAAAGAATCCACCCGCAATGTGGGAGACCTGGGTTCGATCCCTGGGTTGGGAAGATCCCTTGGAGAAGGGAAAGGCTACCCACTCCAGTATTCTGGCCTGGAGAATTCCATGGACTGTAGAGTCCATGGGGTCGCAAAGAGCTGGACACGACTGAGTGACTTTCACTTTCACTTTCCCCGGTGGCTCAGTGGTAAAGACTCTGCCTGCAGTGCAGGAGATGCAGGAGACTAGGGTTTGATCCCTGGAGGAGAGGAAATGGCAACCCACTCCAGTATTCTTGCTGAGAAAAATCCCCTGGACGGAGGAGCCTGGCGGACTACAGTCTATAGTGTTGAAAAGAATCAGCCATGACTGAGTGACCGAGAGCATTGACTGGTCAGAAATGGGACAATTTGAGCTTCCAAACAGATAATAATTTTGATTTATCGAAACCCATGAAATGTTTTTAAATGAGCAAATTCATAAAAATATAAAACAAGTGATTTGATGGTGACAAAATCACTGACCTTTGATAGATAACTAGTAGATTGAAAGTTCTTTTGCCCTTTCATTTTAAAATTTAAAAAGCGTTTTAGAATTTGTGGGGTAAGTAGAACCAGGAATGAAGTGCATTTTCTGAACTTAGGTGCTCCAATGACTGGTGATACAGTTAAGCCCCTGTCCTCTAGAATGCTTAAGGAATCAGTCACATTGTGGGAATTTTCTGGGTACTTGGGGCTGATCCTTTTTAAGCATGAGAAACTTTAATATTTTAACTCTTTGTATTGAAACTAGTTCTAAACTGTAGTCTATGCTTCTGTGCTTTTTAAAGCCAGAGTTTGGTTTTTGTACTAGTTTCCTGTGGCTGCTGTAACAAGTTACCACAGAATGGGTGGCTTAAACCAACAGAAATTTGTTCACTCACAGTTGTGGAGTCTTGAAGTAGGAAATCAAGGTGTGAGCAGGGTTGGTTCCTTTTGGAGCTCTGAGGTAGAATCTGCCCCATATGTTTCTCCTGGCCTCTGTGGGCTAGCTTCCTTGGTGTTCTTGGCTTATGGCCATGTCATTCCATTCTCTGTCTCTCTTGCCACATGTCCTTCTCATTTGTGTCTTCCTTTCTCTTTTATAAGGATGCTTGTCTTTGCAGTCAGGGCCCATTCTAATCCAGAATGATCTCATCTGGAGATCCTTAACTGAATTGCATCTGCAAAGTGTCCCCCCACCCCGACCCAGATATGGACGCATTCGTAGGTTCTGGGGGACATATGTTTTTTTGAGCCACCATTGAGCTCAGGATTCAAGCAAAGGTAATATTGAGCAATAGTCTCTCTGTGTCATGTTGGCTGTGATGTTGGTCATAGAGGTGTGAAGTGTCCATATCTTCAGACCCCGTCCCCTCAGTCCAGCCTCTGGAGAGATGGATACAAGAAGGCAAACAGAAGTCAAAGGGGCAGCCTTGATTGTGGAGGTCCAGTGCTGCTCAGAGGCCTCATACCCACCCAGCTGATGGCTGAATGGAGAGCACAGGGGGAGGGAGGCAGTAGACTGGTACAGGTTCAGGAGCGAAAGAGGGCACAGGGGTGTAGGCTTAGCATATCTCCCCGGACGGCAGCTGGGCTGACCAGTGGCCTCCCCTGTCCCACCCGGCTGCTGCGTGACTCCTCGTTCCCTGGGAAGACAAGCCACGAGTGAGTGGAGAGAGGGATGTGTGGAAGGAGGGACTGGCCATGCTGACTGCAGCCCTGTGTCCCTCTGGCAGTGGAGGTGTGAGAGCGGGGTGAAGCCTCAGCCAGACTGCTGTGCTCACCTGGGCCAAACTCTGGGACAGGATGCGCTCCCACCCCATCACGTCATCTTGGAATGTTGCCTTGGTACCAACTTGCTTTGTTACCTACGTCCTTTGTACAGCTGAGGTGAAGCGCAGGCAGGCAGTCTCCAGAGTGACATAAAATTAAGTGGCAAGTTAAAGCTTTAACAGTGTTCTCTGACGTTTTTCAGTCACCTTCCTAGAAAGTCACCTCTGCTGTCAGTTTTGACTTCTTAGCTCTTCGTGTGTTTTTCTCCTCCTACCATTTCCATCACGCTTCTCTTTCACTCTTTGCAGATATAGATATAAAAGAGGAATATTCCTCATCCCAGTAACATTTTTCTCAGGTGTTTGGGGGAAGACTTTGCTTCAGAGCCTTAAAAGATCTTCAAGCCCTGAGTGACATTTCCACATACTTAGTACCAGACCACACGTTTTTCATGTACTTTGAACAGATCTCCTGACAGAAGCAACAGTAAAGACTGTGTCTCTAATGGCAAATTGTGATTGAGCATCTTATGTAGAATGGAATTTTCTCATAAAAATGATGTAAGTGGCTTATAGTATTTTAAATAGTTCTCTCAGCACCATTCTTCAGGAATGTCATAAATAACTTGGCTTTTGTGAGTCAGCTGGGAATGTAACAATTTTTAATGTAGACATTTTGAATGCATTCTCTCATATGATGTCACCTTACAAAGTTAATATTATAGTGTCTCCTATTGACACTGAGAATGCATTTTCTTATACAGTGTCACATTATAAGTGAATTTAAGGACAGCTCATGTTGATGAGATGGGGAGACTTTTTTATTTTTTATTTGTAATGCTTTTAACTTTTTCTTTTTCTCCTTGGATTTATGTCTGTGCTTGCTCATATAAGCCAATGTTGGGCTTTCTCATGATTTTCAAATATCTTGGAGTACAGATTTTTATTCTTTGGGGGTAGGGTTGGAAATTTAAGTCAAGTACATCAAATTCAAGGCATGTCTGTTCCTCAGGTTTTAAAAAGTGCCTTGGGATAAGAACAGTGGCTGTCATTATGCTTGTGATGTGCTGTTACATGCATATAACCTTTAAGCTTGTTTTCCTTCCCAGGTATGAAAGGTTACAGAAAACATGTTCCATTGCCCTGGTTGGCAAATACACCAAGCTCAGGGACTGCTATGCCTCCGTGTTCAAAGCCCTGGAACACTCAGCCTTAGCCATCAACCACAAGTTGAATCTGATGGTGAGCCCCTGCCTGGTCTTCTGCATGTTTTAGCCATTCATTGTGAAATCTTGTGTTGTACAGAGGCAGGTTGTGTTGAAGGACCCCCAAGTTCAGTGATTCACCAGGACTCAGAGGACTGAGCATACAGCTGTACTCACGAGTATAACTTATTTTAGTGATAGGATACAGAGCCAAATCAGCAGAGGAAAAGGCTAGTCGGATAAAGTCTCGGGGAAACCACCTTTAAGCTTCCAAGGGTCCTCATCCAGTGAAATCACAGAGGACGTGCTTGAATCCCCCAGGAACAAGCTGTAGCAACACTGGTGAAGTGCTGACTGTCAGGGAAGCTCATTAGAGACTTGGCACCCAAGGTTTTTACTGAGGGCTGGTCACATAGGTGCCCTCTGCCTCCAGAGTGTCAAAATTCCAGACTCCCAGGAGGAAAGCAGGTGCTCTACATAAATCATATTGTTTCTTCCAACACTGTAGGCACAGCGAGCCACTCTTATTGGTTCTTGTTAATAGTGGGTGTGTGTGCATGCTCTCATCGTTTCTAACTTTGCGAACTCATGGATTGTAGCCTACCAGGCTCCTCCGTCCATGGGATATTCCAGGCAAAAATATTGGAGTGGGTTGCCATTTCCTCCTCTAGGGGATCTTATCATCCCAGGGATCAAACCTATATCTCCCATGTCTCCTGCATTGCAGGCGAATTCTTTACTGCTAACCCAACAGGGAAGCCTGGTTATGGTGGGAACCCTCCCCAAATCCAAGTTTCCAGATGCCAGACAAGGGCCAACCTTGTAAGCAGGCCTTTCCAAGGATAGCGATCAGGCCTGCCATGTTAACTTTTTTTCTGCATGCAGGTTTAAGGCACAGTTTCTGAAATTAGGCTTTGTACATTCAGGGACGTATCTGCTCCATGCTCATTTAAGTATTTACTTTTGTAAATACTTTTGTATTTGTGTTTACTTAATAAGAAAATGGGGCTTCCCTGGTGGCTCAGCAGTAAAGAATCTGCCTGTAATGCAGGAGCTGCAGGAGATGCAGGTTCAGTCCCTGGGTTGGGAAGATCTGGAGGAGGGCATGGCCACCCACTCCAATATTCTTACCTGGAGAATCCCCATGGACAGAGGAGCCTGGCGGGCTACAGTCCATGGGGTTGCAAAGAGTTTGCCACAACAGAGCACATACACACACATGCACATATGGGATAGCAGAGGCGAAGTTATATATATATATAGCTTGACTATACTCTTTGTTAGATATAGAAGTAGTCTATGCTCAGAGTGTAAAATATAAGCAAAGCATAATGCAAAATCCAGAAAGTAGAAGATTCTTCCTCTCTGAAATCCTTCTCTTGCTGTACCTGTCGTTCCCAGTTTGACACATATCTTTCCAAACTTTTCTCTCTATATATAAATGTGTATATTTAATGATATTCTCTCTGAGTATATCACAATTTAGGAAGGCTTTATTATCTTGATTTAAATGGTAAAACCTTTATATGATAAACCAAAAGATACAGTTACATGTTCAGGAAATTGAGTAATTTCCAGCTTAGGACCTATCTGATTTTCTCTCATCTCTTTGTAGCTTCTTTCTCTAAATACTTATTGTTTTTGACTTTCAAAGGAATTGTTCCCTTCCTATTCTTCCTATTCATTCAGCTTCCCCAGGCCCTCATAGAAAAAAGAAAGCAATAATAGAAAATCTGTTTTAATACAAATTTTATAAAGTAAAATTTTGTATCTTAAGATATATTCAGATAGTAATTTGTATAACATAAATACTAAAATAACAGATATATAGGGACTGTTATGTACACAGGAATTGTCATAACTGTTTTTCTTGTAATAGAGTTCATTGATGGTGGCCTCTACTAAGTCTTGTTTGAATCATGGGCTTGTGCTATGTTTATCTTGCCTGACTTTTGCGGCAGTTTCCCAACTGGTTTTCAGTCTTCCCTCCATTTCCCTCACTGAATTTTTCTAAAATCACTCTCTGTTCCTTCAGACCTTTCAGTCACTTCAAGTGTTCTGTCGCTGCATGGAACTTCTTTTGGTGTCTCCAGAGTGGTCACCACTTCCTGTCTTTTGTCTGCAGTTTCATACAAGCTGTTCTTTCACCACCACCCCTCTCTACACCCCCACCCTGCATCCCTTCCCACCTGCCTCCCAACTACACACACACACACACACACACACACACACACACACGCTCAGCTTGCATCAGCTCCAGGGCTTAGCTTCTTGGATATCCCCTCCCCCAAAAGCTTCCATGAAGGTGTTCCTTCCCTTCTTCTCTCCAGCTCACCTCTAGCTCCGGTTGGTTCCTGCTTTGTTCCGCAGTGTTCTCTTCTTTGCCCATAGTAACTCTTATCTCCCTGTGCTGTGGGTGCCTATTTATCTGGTTGTAATCTTCCTAAAAGATTGTAAGAGCCACAAGATTTCTATGCTAAGTGACCAGTACAGTGTTTGCATAACTAGTTATTGAATAATTGTGTGTTAGATGGTTCTAGTATTTTCCAGTTTTTATTTTTCTGAAATCTTTAAATTTGTTGGATGTTTTTAGTACATAGATTCCATTGATCTGGAGCAGACTACTGAAACTGAGGACCCTGTGAAATTTCATGAAGCTTGGCAGAAGCTCTGCAAAGCTGAGTAAGTACCAAGGACTTTCCATGCCAGTTAGGAGAATGCCACTGATTTTTCCATAATGATTCAACTTACCCCAATTACTGATTTTTGTGCATTTGAAAGATAGTTTGGAGTACTTGTGATTCTGGGTGCTTGTACTGCATTCACATTGCATTTACTTTGAAACATGCCATGTTAGTATTAGTAGCCCATGCAATGGGAATGGTTTTATTCTGGATAAACACTCTCATTTGCAAACATGAAAGCTCAAGAGAAAACTGGAAGGTCATGTTACCCTTCATGGCACAAAACAATGCTACCCCCAAGAGTTATATTGATTATTTAAAAAAATAAAACCTTGAATCAAAAGATGTGGAAAAGAAAACAAAACCAAGAGGAGGGAAGATTGTCATTCTTGCATTGTAACTTTGTATATTTAAGGTCTGTCTCTATATTTTTCCATAGCATCAACTCACTTTCTCCTCCCCAGAATAAGACCACCTTCACTGCACATGCCACTAACACTAACATGGCATGTTTCAAAGTAAATTGGTGAAATAGGCCTTAGATTTTGATTACTAATTAAGTTGTAGCACAGCAAAATTTCCTGGCTAGGAGCCACTTTAGAGACTTGAAGCCACTGAAAGGTCTGAAGGAACAGAGAGTGATTTTAGAATCACTCTGGCTCAGTGAAGGAAATGGAGGAAAGTTTTTACCATATTGATGGGAAAGAGAGTTGATGCTACAGAAAGATGCAGAGACAGACTTTCCATGTACAAAGTTATAGTGCAAGAATGACAGTCTTCCCTCCTCTCTTGGTTTTGTTTTCTTTTCCACATCTTTTGATTCAAGGTTTTATTTTGTAAGTAATCAATATAACTCTTGGGGGTGGCATTGTATTGTGAGGGTAACATTACCCTCCAGTTTTTTCTTGAACTGTTATGTTTTCAAATGAGAGTGTTTATCCAGAAAGTCTCTAAAGTGGCTCCTCGCCAGGAAATTTTCCTGTGCCACAACTTGATTAGCAATCAAAAGGTCTATTTCACCAGTTTAACTCTATCTGATTATGTAAGAGGTCTTAAAACATTTTTATAACAGTATTTTTAAAAGAACCTTAAAAAAAAATAAAATAAATAAAATAAAAGAACCTTAACCTGTTTTTCTTCAGATAATTCTTTCAGTGGCATTTTTAACTGAACTGAGTCTCTTAGTTATATGGTCATGTGCTGCAGAGACCTATCAGGAAATATATATCAAGGTCAGTTGTGAGAAATTGTCGCAACTGCTTTATAACATTGGGAGGATTTCAAAAAGAAAGTTCAGGATGTGAAATTATGTAATCAATTTTGAAAATAGACTCCAAGCGTATTCTCTAGCAGTTGTGCCAAATGTTGAATTTGGTTTCAATAAGCATGATCTGAAAACAAGAATTTCACAAATAAAAATGTCAAATTTCCCCTCCTCTTGTGTTGATTGCAGTGGTGTTCTTGTGCCAGGAGGCTTTGGAATCAGAGGAACGTTGGGAAAACTCCAGGCAATTTCTTGGGCACGGTCAAGGAAGATTCCTTTTCTGGGTAAAACTGATGTTTATGAATCCTGAGTATGAGTTTTTTTAGATTTTTGATACCTAGTTCAGATAACACATAATAGGGTTTGTTAATGTGAAAAGTGTGATTTTGAATTTCAACATTAAGGTGCCAAATAGTTTGCTACAGGGTCTGGAAACTATATTCTACAAGCCCTACCTGGCTCACAGCATTTTTGTAAATAAAGTTTTATTGGAATATAGCCACACAGATTTGTTTGCATATTGTCTGTGGCTGTTTTTCCAATGCAGTCGTGGAGATTGAGACCCTACAGCATGCAAAGCCTAAAATCTTTACTCTCTGGCCCTTTACCAAAAAAATTTGTCAACGTACAAGAACTTACCACTGGTCTGGTTGTATAGCAAGAGGCTGGGAAGAACCTGTGTTCAAACCTGCCCTTACCTTTTCCGATTCCCACCTGATTATATCTTTTGCCACTTCAAGCAGAGAACATCTCAGTAGGATGCCACAGTGTTACTTCTAATCAGAAAAAAAGCTTATTGAAATGTATATATTCCTTCTAGAAAAGATAATACAGAAAAATCATCTAACATTACAGAGACAGCTCTGTTAAGAATTAGAGCTGGGTGTTTTCAATGCTTTTGTTGAAATTGCAAAGCATGGCTTCCTTAGCAATGAAACTCGATGTAATAGAACATTGATGGGATAACAAGCAGCTCTGCGACTGGGGGTCCAGAAGGAAGAGGGAGTGGGGAGAGGCTGTGTTTCATGCTGTGCTTGCATGGGCTGCAGGGTTTATAAACTGAGTGGACTGGCTTTGGTACCGTTTACTTAATATCAACAGGTTCATTTCCCCCACTTGCCTGTTCTTTAACTTCCTAGACACTCTCCACTAGGGATACATTTTCAAAAGAGAAGCTAGGAGTAGTTTACCTTGGTACCTTGCTTTGTTTTATCCATCTAAGCTCACCTGGGCCACTGTTTTCTCTTGAAGTAATCTTGTTTAGTTTCTGTCTGAACATGATTAGCATTCTTCAGATAATTTTCACTGTACAGAATAGTTTGCAGCTCTATAGCTTTCTCTTTAACACACTATCTGTGTGTCCTAGCTTTGTAGGACTTTCTGAAGTCCCTCCAAAGCACTCAGCTGTTTCACGCTTTTTGACTTTTGTTCTGGCGTGCTTGATGTATTGATTGCTCTCTCCTTTGAGTCCCTGTGTATCTTGGATATATCTGTAAAAGCATCTGGAATGCTCCTTGACGTTTGTTTATTGGAGAGTATTGGTGGGCCACAGTGAATGTGGGGATGGGCAAGGGGTGCATCTCTGTGGCAACAGGCCCAGGCTTCTGCAGGTCCCTTTCTGTCCTCATTGAGCTCTCTGCTCAGTTCCGTTTGGCTTCTCCATCATGCTCCAGCCTGCAGTGGAGGTACCAGCTCGCCCGGCTGCTGCTGCTGCTTCCTTGCAGTGAAGGTTCAGCCTGCTCTGGGCTCAGCAGCTGGGCACAGACCTCCCACTCCCCTGCCTGCCTGTGGGTGCTCCTTGGAGCCCAGCCTGCTGCCAGGCAGGGGCTGCCTGCAAACAGAGCCCACATTTAAGGCCATGAAACTATCTAGAGAAGAGAGAGTGTGAAGACTCAGCCCACAGAGACTCCCTCGTGAATTGAGGTGTTGTTAGACCTTCTCTGAAGGAGTTGGGTGCTCTGGGGCAGCCCTGCAGGCCACACGTGCGCCTCAATCTAGAGACGCATTTGGAGGTAGGCAGATTGGCCTTTTGGACCTTGCCTTCTCATTTCCTGCCCTTTTCCAACTTCGTATTTATTTATTCCTACTTCAGTTTGGGTCGTCCAAACCCCTTCCCTGCCCCTGCCACGCCTGTTCTGAGGGCAGAAGCTTCAGCAGCAAACTCACTCTCTTGCAGCCTGCATTCTAGATGGAGAAGATAGCAAACAAATGAACAGAAAATATGACACAGTACAGAATAGTTTCATTTGTTTTGTATATGTGCTTTTTAAAATAGGAGTTTGCCTTGGGATGCAGCTGGCAGTGATAGAGTTTGCAAGAAACTGCCTTAACTTGAAAGGTAAGTCTGAGATTTTCTAAATACCTCTTAGTGAAAAGCATTCTTATTACTTAAAGAATTTTTCAGCTACATAATGGTGAGTTACTGAACTCATTTCTTTATCTTCAGATGCTGATTCCACAGAATTTGAGCCAAATGCCCATATTCCTGTGGTAAGTGGATTGTTTATCTTTTTGGGTTGGGTCATTATTTTGTTTCTGGCTCTAGCCTATGCTCATAAGGGGCTATTTTTTTTTTTCATTATGACATCAGGACATCTTAATTATATATGATTTTGCTTATTCTTATTACTCTGTTGTTATTAGTTTATATCAAACCACTTTATTCTCCATCGTCCATTTTGTCAGCTGTGTCTTGCAGGAAGAAACGGTCCTAGACTGGTTTCTCTGCAGTAGTTTTCAAGCTGAACATTCAGGAAAAGGTTGAGTTGACTTTGACAACAGTTTATCAGAGCTGATGTAAACACACAGGCTGTCCTGTCTCTAGACCCATCCTTGTCTGTTCTTTTGCTGCTCCTCAGCTTATCAGTTCCTTTTCCCATAAAATAGTCCAAGGATTTGGCCAGGAGCGAAGGCTACTGTGCTCTGTCACCTGCCACCCTGCTAACTCATCCCATGGCACCCCTGTCCCTCCATACTTGGAGTTGTAGAGTTGGACAATCTGAATGACATTCCCTACACCTGAGATCTCTCCTGTCCTGCAGCCTCCCTATCCCTGGAATCTCAAAACCAGTGAAGAATTTAATTACAAAAGTAAACCCAATCTGATTACTGATGACTTCCTGTTGATCCTGGGAAGCCTTTCCTGACCTCTGCCTTTTATGCTTTATACCACCTCTATCAGAGTATACACCTCATCATTGTGATTTGTTTTTTATTAACAATTTTATTGAGATATAATTCACATACCATAAAATTTAGCCATTCAAAGTATGTAATGCAATGACTCAGCACATTCAGATTTCTATAATCATTACCACAGTCAATTTTGGACCATTTTGATTGCTCTAAAAAGAAATCCCACACCCTTTGCTAACAGCCCCAAGCCGCCTATGCTCCCAGCTCTGGGCAGCCATTCATCTGTTTTCTGTCTCTATGTATTTGCCTATTCTGGCCATTTCATATACAGTTGACCTTTGAATAATGCAGGGGTTAGGTGTGACTCTCCGTGCAGTCAAGTATCTGTCTATAACTGCTAATCACCTCTCCATATATGCATTCCTCCATATCTGCAGATTCAACCAACCATGGATCGTGTAGTACTGTAGTATTTACTATGAAAAGAAAGGCTTGTTTAAGTGGACCTGTACATCTCAGACCTGTGTTGATCCACTGCAAATGGAATCATACTGTATGTGGCCTTTTGTGACTGACTTTTTTCATTTAGCATAATGTTGTCAAGGTCTGCTATGTTGTAGTATCTATCAGTACTTTGCTTCTTTTTATTGCCAAATAATATTTAATTATATGGCTAGATTACATTTTATTTATCTGTTCATACTTTGATGGACATTTGTCGTTTCCACCTTTTGGCTACTGTGAATAATGCTGCTATGAACATTTGTTTACAAGTTTCTGTGTGGACGTATTTTTTCATTTCATTTGGGTCTATACTTAGGAGGGGAGTTGTGGGTCATATAGTGACTGTATGTTTAATTTTTTGAGGAACTGTCAGACTGTTTTCTAAAGTGGTTGCAGCATCCTGTCAGCAGTGTATGAGGGTTCCAATTTCTTCATATCCTCAACACTTGTTGTTATCTTTTTTGTTACAGTTGACTTTTTTTTTAAACTTCAGTTTATTTTTCTAGAGAAAACAGTGGTTCTTATACTTTAGTTTGCATTAGAAACACTTGAGGAAACTTTCCCCCCTTTCAATGTTAATTTACTCAGCACATATTAACTGCAAACATACTGTGATCCACGTATATTCTTTCCTTGGGAAATGATTACAGTTGACTCTTGAACAGCATGCATTTGAGCTGCACAGGTCCACATATACATGGATTTCTTTTTTTGTAACTCTCTTTTAATTAATTTATTTTTTATTGAAGGATAATTGCTTTACAGAATTTTGTTGTTTTCTGTCAAACCTCGCTATGAATCAGCCATAGGTATACATATGTCCCCTCCCTCTTGACCCTCCCTCCCACCTCCCTCCCCACCCCACCCTCTAGGTTGATACAGAGCCCCTGTTTTGAGTTTCCTGAGCCACACAGCAAATTCCTGTTGGCTCTCTGTTTTACACATGGTGATGTAAGTTTCCATGTTACTCTCTCCATACATCTCACCCTCTCCTCCCCTCTCCCCATGTCCATAAGTCTGTTCTCTATGTCTGTTTCTCCACTGTTGCCCTGTAAATAAATTCTTCAGTACCATTTTTCTGGATTCCATATATATGTGTTAGAATATGGTATTTATCTTTCTCTTTCTAACTCACTTCACTCTGTATAATAGGTTCTAAGTTCATCCACCTCATTGTGTGTATGTGTGTTAGTTGCTCAGTCGTATCCAACTGTTTGCCACCCCACGGACTGTCGCCCACCAGACTACTCTATCCATGGAATTCTCCAGGCAAGAATACTGGAGTGGATTGCCATTCCCGTCTCCAGAGGAACTTCCCAGCCCAGGGATCGAACCCTAGTCTCCTGCATCACAGGCACATTCTTTACTGTTTGAGCTATGGGAAGTCTGTGGATTTATCCACCTCATTAGAACTGACTCAAATGCCTTCCTTTTTATGGCTGTGTAATATTCCATTGTGTATATAGACCACAACTTCTTTATCCATACATCTGTCGATGGACAGCTAGGTTGCTTCCATGTTCTAGCTATTATAAATAGTGCTGCAGTGAACAATGGGATACACGTGTCTTTTTCAATTTTGATGGTTTTTTTTCAATAAATATATACTACAGTACTACACTGTTGACAATAGGTTGATTTTGTGGGTGTGAAACTGTGGATATGGAGGGCCAACTGTAAAGTTATATTTGAATTTTTGACTACTTGAGAGGTCAGTACCCCTAAACCCTGTGTTGTTCAAGTGTCAGTTGTATACCAATTCTAGTGGGAGTGAAGTTATAGCTCACTGTGGCTTTGATTCACATTTCCTTGATGTCTAAGGTTGTTAAACATCTTTTTGTATGCTTATTGGACACTTGTATATCATGTTTGGAGAACAGTCTATTCAGATCCTTTGCCTACTTTAAATTGTGTTATTTGTCATCTTATTAAGTTGGAAGTATTTTTTAATATATTCTAGATACAAGTTCCTTATTAGATATATTATTGACATTTGGGGCCAGATAGTTGTCCTGTTCATTGTAGTATGTTCAGTAGCATCCCTGGCCTCTACCGGCTATATATCTGTCGTATTTTCCTCCCAACCCCCAACTGTGATACTAAAAATACCTCCAGACATTGCAGAACATACCCTGGGGACACAGGCAAAATAGTCTCCTTTGAGAAGCACTGATTTAGAAAAATCTAGTATTTTTTTGGTAACTTTTTATTTTATATGGGGTATAGCTGATTAATGGTGTTGTGATAGTTTCAGGTGAACAGCAAAGGGACTCAGCCATACATATACATGTATCTATTCTCCCCCAAACTCCCCTCCCATCCAGGCTGCCATATGACATTGAGCAGAGTTCCATGTGCTATGCAGTAGATCCTTGTTGGTTATCCATTTTAAATATAGCAGTGTGGACATGTCCATCCCAAACTCCCTAATTATCCTTTCCCCCTGACTTCTCCCCCAATAACCGTAAGTTCGTTCTGTAAGTCTGTGAGTTTGTTTCTGTTTTGTAAGTAAGTTCATTTGTATCATTTCTTTTTAGATTTCGCATATAAGAGATAGCATACGATAGAGAAATCTAGTTCTTTTCCTCTCCCCTCAGTACAGTCCCTTCCTTTCCTTATGGCACCCATTAATTCTTTTTCTTTAAAGAGTTATCTTTCCACTTAAAAAAATACAAGTAAACCCATATATTTGTAAGCCCCTCCCCTTCTTAGATAAATGACAGTAGACTGCATATTTTTTCTGCCTTGCTTTTTTTCACTCAACATTCTCTGCTGGAGTGGAGATCACTGTGGAAGGATATAGAGCTATTCTCCACTCATTTTTATAGCTTGCAATTCAGACTATAATGAACCATAACTTCCCAGCCAGATGGTACTTTTAAGTCTTATGCTCAGAAGACTTAATACAAGTGAAGAGTTCCTTATAAGGCTTTAATAGAAACATATTTCCTGACTAATGGCTGAAATGGCTGTGCCGGGCAAACATTGGGATTTCTTCTCTTAGAGAATACTTTGGGGTAGGAACTGACTTTACCAGTAGGTGCCACTGTTAGATAGCTTTGGCAAGGTTTATTCCTTGACTATCCTTTACTGTGTGTGTGTGTATTTTTAAAACATTTATACACAGGATAAAAAAGTAAAGCGCTAAAGAAAAGGTATAAAACTGCCTTTTACATGACCCTACCTCACCTCAGTTCCCTTACCCAGAGGTGACTACCTTCATCCATTTCTTTTGTTATTCTGCTAAAGATTGTGTGTGTGTGTGTATACAAACGCCTACCTGCTCACATATATGAATATATGTTCCTTTAAAAATACATATGCTGGCATGCCTAAGACATCATTCCCCTTGCATTGTACTCATCACTCCACTTCAGTGCACAGGGATCTTCCAAATGCTTGCCTTGCTGTTAATATATGCATCATTCTTTATTTAAACAGTCTCATATTGATTAATATTTAGGTTGTGTCCATTATTTGCTGCTTTAAATCATGCTGCAAATTAGTATCTGTACATATGTCCTTGTAGCCACACATGCACACTTCTATAGGATGAATTCTTAGAAGAGGAATTGAGAAGTTGGAGGAAATGTACATTTTACATTCTGATAGCTTCTATACTCATAAGTGAGATGAGAACAATAAAACCTAATTGCTACTGAACATCTTTATGGCCTACAATCAGTTTGTTGGAGAAAAATAGCCTTAAGAGCCAGCATTTGTGAGGATGGGGAGAAGCCTTATTAAAGAAAAAGACTAAGGTAATAGAATCACCAGGCAGCAAACACCAGGAAGCCTCAGGAATCTCTTAAACTTGAGCAAATAACAGTGACTTACAGAGGGTAATAGCC